AATAATACTAGGGGACGTCAGTACTCACTCAGTACTCCACTTTTTTCCTTTATTTTATTTATTTATATTTTTGAGACTGTCTCCCTCTTACTCTATCACCCAGGCTGAAGTACAGTGGCACAGTCTCTGTTCACTGCAACCTCCCTCTTCTGGGTCCAAGCAATTCTTCTGCCTCAACCTCCCGAGTAGCTGGGACTACAGGCATGCGCCATCACACCCAGGTTAATTTTTGTATTTTTAGTAGAGAGGGGGGTTTCACCATATTGGCCAGGCTGGTCTTGAACTCCTTGTCTCAAGTGATTCACCTGCCTTGGCCTCCAAAAGTGCTGGGCTTACAGGCATGAGCCACCGGGTCCAGCCAGTATTCCACTATCAATATTGAGTAGAACACCTAGACAGAAAATTAAGGAACTGGAAGACTTGAATAATAGTGTCAAACTATGAAACCAATTAGGTCTAATAGACATTTATAGAACATTCCACCTAACAGCAGCAGAATACACCTACTTCTCAAGTACACATGAAACGTTCTCCAGAATAGATCATATGTTAGGCCATAAAACAAACCTCAATAAATTTAAAAGGATTGAAGTTTTATGAAGTAGGCCGGGCACAGTGGCTCATACCTATAATTCTAGCGCTTTAGGAGGCTGAGGCGGGAGGATCACTTGGGCTCAGGTGTTCCGAGACAAGCCTGGGCAACATAGTGAGACCTTATCTCTACTGAAGAAAAAAAAACAGTAAGCATGGTGCCACATCCCTGTAGTCTCAGCTACTCAGGAAGCTGAGGTAGGAGGATCACTTGAGCCCAAGAGGTTGAGGCTGTAGTGAGCCATGATTCTGTCACTGCACTCCAGCCTGGGCAACAGAGTGAGACCCATTCTCAAAAACAAGCAGCAAAAAAGAACTTACATGAAGTATGTCTCTGACCACAGTAGAATAAAATTAGTTATTAGCAACAGAAAGAAATTTGGGGAATTCACAGATATGTGGAAGTTAAATAACACACTCCTAAATAATCAAAAGAAGAACAAGCAAAACCCAACAGAGGCAGGCAGAAGGAAATAATAAAGATTAACATATAAATAAGTGAAATAAAGAATAGAAAAATGAGGGAAAATGAACTAATCAAAAAGTTGGTTCTTCTCAAAGATCAATAAAATTGACAGAGTTTTAGCTAGACTGACCAAGAAAGAGAGAAGACTCAAATTACTAAAATCAAGAATAAGAGAGAGGACATGACTACCAAATAGAAGAAAACTTTTTTTTTTTTTTTTTTATTATTAGAGGGCCTTGCTCTGTCTCCCAGGCTGGAGTGCAATGTGCAGTGGCATGATCACAGCCCCCTGTAGCCTCTATCTTCGAAGCTCAAGCATGCCTCCCCAGTAGCTGCGCTCACAAGTACACACCACCACTCCCAACTAACTTTTAACTTCTTTTGTAGAGTTAGCATCTCCCTATGTTGCCCAGACTGATCTCGAATTCCTGGGCTTAAGCCATCCCTTCCCGAGTGCTGAAATTATAGATGTCAGCCGCCTTGCCCTCCCAGAAAATAATAAGGGGAAAAAATATATATATATTCTAAACAAGGTCGCACTCTGTCACCTGTGCTGGAATGCAGTGGCGTGGTCACAACTCACTGCAGCCTCAACCTCTTAGGCTCAGGCGATCTTCTTATGTTAGCCTCCTGAGGAGCTTTGACTGCAGGCACACGCCACCACACTCAGCCTCCCTGATAAATTCTATCAAACGTTTAAAGAAGTATAATAGTAACACCAATACTTGATAAACTTTCAAAAAATATGGAGGGAACTTTTTTTTCTTTTGAGATAGAGTCTTGCTCTGTTGCCAGACTGGAGTCCAGTGGCGCGATCTTGGCTCACTGCAACCCCTGCTTCCTGGGTTCAAGCTATTCTCCTGCCTCAGCCTCCTGAATAGCTGAGGGATTACAGGTGCACGCCACCACACTAATTTTTGTTTTTTCAGTAGAGATGAGGTTTCACCATGTTGGTCAGGCTAGTCTCTTAACTCCTGACCACATGATCCACCCTACCTCGGCCTCCCACAGTGCTGGGATTACAGGCATGAGCCACTACCTGGCCACAGGAACATTTCTTAACTGATGCTTTCAGGCCAGTTTGTTTTAGGAAAGCAAGATGGGTTCAACATACACAAAAACGGTTGAGGGAAATACTAATACAATAAAGGGGAAAAATGAACATCTCAGTAGAAACAGAAAAAGCATTTAACAAAATCTAAAACTTTTTTATGTTGAGTAAAAGCATTCAACAAACTAGAAGAGAACTTAACCCTATAAAGGGCATCAGTGAGGAACCTGCAACTAACATAATAAAAGGTCAAAGACTGAAAGCTTTACCCCTAAGATGAGAAACAAGGCAAAGATGTCCGTTTTTGCCACTTCTACTCAACATTATACTGGAGGTGCTAGCCAGGGCTTTTAGGCAAGAAAAAGACATAAAAGACATTCAGATTGAAAGGGAAGAATTAAAACTATTGTTAAGTGACATTATTTTGTATTTGTCATCAAGTTGTGAAAGAAGCCAGATGCAAAAGGCCACATATATTATACACTGCATATGAAATATCCAGCATAGGCAAATCCATGAGACAAAGTAGATTAGTGATTCCCAAGGGCCCAGGAAGAGGAGGAGAGGGAAATGACTGCTTATGGATACAGGGTTCCTTTTATGTGTAACAAAAATGTTTTGGAACCAGATAATGATTATGCTTATGATTACATAACCTAAAACCACTGAATTGTACACTTTTAAATTGTGGATTTTATAGTATATTAATTATATCTCAATTTCCAAAAAAGAAAAGCAATTTGATTGCTTTTTCTTATTTTGGTTTATTGACATTTCTGTTTTTAAAAGGGCAAAAAAAAAATCTTCTGTGTATTGAGTTGGACACTGAGTAGTGTTTCTTTTGTTCTAGTTAGCATTCAGTCATCTTTTTTTTTTTTTAGTAGAAATTCCTAAGTCATCAATAAATTGCAGCCAAACTACTAGAAATAAAAATTTTTCTGTGTAAGCAGTCCCCAACAATGTTTCTGGGTAATAGTATTTTATTTAGTGTCATAATTATTAAAATTATAGTAGGTCACCTGTCAGTTAAATTTAGTAATTTTTACTGAGGTGGTATGTTTTAAAGTTTGGAATGCCCTTTTATTAAAAAAAAAAAAAATTTTCCCCCAAGACAATCTCATTCTGTCGCCCAGGCTGGAGTGCAGTGGCACCGTTTCAGCTCCCTACAACCTCCACCTCCTGGGTTCAAGCAATTCTCCTGCCTCATCCTCCTGAGTGGCTGGAATTACAGGTGTGTGCCACCATGCCTGGCTAATTTTTGTATTTTTAGTAGAAATGGGGTTTCACAATGTTGGCCAGACTGATCTTGAACTCCTGACCTCATGATCCGCCCACCTTGGCCTCCCACAGTGCTGGGATTACAGGGATGAGCCAGTGTGCCCAGCCTTAAAAACTTTTTTTTTTTAATAGACATGGCATCTTGCTATGTTAGCCAGGCTGGCCTCAAACTTCTGGCCTCAAGCAGTCCTCCTGCCTTGGCCTCCCAAAGTGCTGGGATTACAGGTGTGAGCCACAACACAATTTTTTTTTCTTACTTTATTATTTCTTTGAAAATGGAGTCTCACTCTGCCACCCAAGCTGGAGTGCAGTGGCATAGTCATAGCTTACTCACCGTGGCCTCAAACCCCCAGGCTCAAATGATCCTCCTGCCTCAGCCTCCTGAGTTTTTTTGGATGTTGTTGTTGAGACAGGGTCTCACTCTGTCACCCAGGCTGGAGTATAGGCGCCATCATGACTCACTGCAGCGTCAGTCTCCCAGGCCCAAGCAATCCTCCACGTTGGCCTCCCAAGTAGCTGAAACTACAGGTGCATGCCACCATGCCTGGCTATACTGTTTATTTTTTGTAGAGATGGGGTTTCACCATGTTAGCCAAGCTGGTCTCGAACTCCTGACCACAAATGATCCACCTGCCTCGGCCTCCCAAAGTGCTAGGATTACAGACATGAGCCACTGAACCTGGCCTAATGTCTGTGTGTGTGTGTGTGTGTGTGTGTGTGTGTCCCTAGATCTTTCCTCAGGAACTCTTTTTAATATAAAGTTTCATTGATTTGGCTGGGTGCGGTGGCTCACACCTGTAATCCCAGCACTTTGGGAGGCCGAGGCAGGTGGATCATTTGTGGTCAGGAGTTCGAGACCAGCTTGGCTAACAGAGTAAAACCCTGTCTTTACTAAATATAAAGTTTGATTAATTCTGTGACACAAGTGGCCTCAAACTCCTTGGCTCAAGCTGGAGTGTGATTTGTTATTCCAGGAGTTAGGGAAACTGAGGTACTGCAGTGGTTATTTTAAACTCTGCCAGCCAAGATAGATTTGGAGTGTTAGATTTGGCCCCAGCTCTTCTCATCATCCTAAGTTATTTTTTTGAGTCAAATTACGTTTTTAATCTTATACTAGCATTATTTAAATTTTAAAAGAAAACTACTGTCCTAAAATGAAAGGTGAAGAAATCACAGAATCCAGACCCTGTACTGTATTCCAAAATACCTTGGTCTAGGTGACTGCAATAGCAAAATCACATGAGGTCTTATTTGAGCAACAAGGCCCTTTTTCTTCTTGTTCACCTCTCTTTTCAGCTACCCAGTACCAGCATACAGATTGCTGAGTTGTGTCCTTTAAAGATTGACAATATGGCCAGATGCCAGTGAAATAGAATTAGCTTTTAACAGAAGGATCAAGCTCCTATGTGGGCTAATGTAGCAGTGGTTGAGTGGTAAATGATAATATCCAGGAGGCCAGTCTCCACTTATCTGTTATTCCTGTTCAGCTTTCAAAGGCACCATTAATGGCCTGGAGATGGGTTGAAGTGATAGGATTTACTTCAAATCACTGTAGATTGTTTTTGTGATGATAGTTCATTGTACTGTAATTCTATTGTCTTCCTCTGTACATAGGTTGAGAGCACCATTGGATGCTTACTTTCAGGTGAGCAGGACCCAGCCTGACTTGCCAGCTACCATTTACAATTCAGAGACTAGGAATCCTGTGTCTGAAGACTTGCAGATGTCTAGTAGTTCTGATTCTGACAGTGACAGCTCTACAGAGTATGGAGAGGTTGTTGACCAGACAGAGGAATCTGGAGCTGTCATTTCAGAAGGTCAGTATTTTATCCAGGTTTGGACTCAGAAGTCTAACATCCAGGAAGCTTAAACTTCAGAAGACTAGAAGCTCTAGATTTGTGCTTTAACACTTTCCCTTTTCTCCCCTAAATGTTGTGGATTCCTGTTTTATAGTATAGAGGCTTCACTGGCCATAATATAGAGAGGATTTGATCTGACTTACAGCTCAGTGTAATTTGTGACCCAGTGAGTCAGTCACTTTGTAATGGCATTTTATATTCTCTTTCGCTTTTTTAGACATCTGAGAAAATAGATTCGTTTTTTTCTTTTTCTTTTATTTTTTGACAAGGTCTGGCTCTGTTGCGCAGTGACAACTAGAGTGCAATGACAACAATCTCGGCTTACTGCAACCTCTTCCCTTAGGCTCAACCCATCCTTCCACCTCAGCCTCCCAAGTAGCTGGGACTACAGGCACACATAACCACACTGGCTAATTTTTAAAATTTTCTGTAGAGACAGGGTTTTTCCATGTTGCCCCAGCTGGTAATAAACTCCTGAGCTCAAGAGATCCACCTACCTCAGCTTCCCAAAGTGCTGGGATTACAGACAGGAGCCACTGCACCCAGCCTAGATTCTTTATTTAAGAGAAGTTTTGTTAATTCAGCCCCCTGTCTAGGCTGACACTTTCGAGTCCTAGTATGTTAGGTGTTATGCAAGTGGAACTTTATTTAACAGTCATAGGCAGAGACCTCCTAAAGTAGATGTCCTGCTTACATTAAAAACTTTAATCCCCAGAGGGTGCTCTTTCAGTATATTTTCCCACTGAAAGAATATTCTTGGATTATGAGTTGAAATATAATAAATCTATAAGTTCATATTTATATAATTTTCCAAAACCTCATTTGTCATTATCATAAGTTGTTAGAACCTCAACTCATTACTCCAAAAACTAGTAAATAATCAAGAATATGCTAATATTTTGACTTCCTGTATAAACTGTATTTAGGACAACCAGAGAGTTGATGAAGTATATTTTTTTTGTTGTTTTTTATTTATTTGTTTTTTTGAGACAGGGTTTCATTCTGTCCCCAGGTTGGAGTGCAGTGGCATGATCACAGCTCACTGCAGCCTTGACCTCCCATGCTGAAGCAATCCTCCCACCTCAGCTGACTGACTAGATAGGACTATATGTACGTGCCACCATACCTGGCTAATTTTTTGTAGGGATGGGGTCTCCCTATGTTGCCCAGGCTTGAAAGTTTTCTTAAATAAAAAATTTCAGCTGACTGCAGCAGAAGCGATAGAAAAGTCATCATTTTGTGACTCCTGATTAAATGATATATCTAGGCACAGATCATCAGTGGATCCTAAAACCAGTAGGTTGCAGGATTGATGGGATTCTTTTTAATACAGGGACCAGGATGATACCACCTGAACCCATTGGTCAATCTTAGCATCTCAAAAAAATAGGACAAGACCATATGTGCCTCTTAATGTGCTATAATCTGAAATACTCATGCCACTTAGGAAGTACTGTACATACACACACACCAGCCCCCCACCCCCACTGCCAAAAAAAAAGCCCTGAATCTACTCAAGACTCTTTTCTAATAACCAGTTTGCATAGTCTGTAGAAAAAGGGGTGGAGGAATGAGGTAAATAATACCTCAGAGATGTTGTCAATCATTTACATTAAAAATGTAGAATGTTTTACAAATGGAACATCTTTCTAGATCTAAATGTATATGGAAATTTAACATCTTGTAAAGGGAATATCTCAAATCAGTGGGGATAATTTTTAATGTTTTATATAACAGTAAACCAGCATAGTATATGATTCCACTTATATAAAATGTCCAGAAAAGGCAAGTCTAAAGAGACAAGATTAGTGGTTGCCTGGGTCTACAGGTGCAAGTGTGAAGTGACTCTACATGGGCATAAAGGATCTTTGTGGGCTGACAGAAATTGGGTTATGGTGATGGTTGCACAATGCTAAATATATTGTATGTAAAAGTTAAACAATTTCAAGCCGGCCATGGTGGCTCACACCTGTAATCCCAGCACTTTAGGAGACTGAGGCGGGCAGATCACGAGATCAAGAGATCGAGACCATCCTGGCCAACATGGTGAAACCCCACCACTACTAAAAATACACAAGTTAGCTAGGCATGGTAGCGTGCGCCTGTAGTCCCAGCTACTTGGGAGGCTGAGGCAGGACAATTGCTTGAACCTGGGAAGCAGAGGTTTCAGTGACCCAAGATCGCATCACTGCACTCCAGCCTGGTGACAGAGTGAGACTGCATCTCAAAAAAATAATAATAATTTTAGCCGGGCGCGGTGGCTCAAGCCTGTAATCCCAGCACTTTGGGAGGCCGAGGCGGGTGGATCACGAGGTCAAGAGATCGAGACCATCCTGGTCAACATGATGAAACCCCGTCTCTACTAAAGTACAAAAAATTAGCTGGGCATGGTGGCGCGTGCCTGTAATCCCAGCTACTCAGGAGGCTGAGGCAGGAGAATTGCCTGAACCCAGGAGGCGGAGGTTGCGGTGAGCCGAGAT